CGGCCAGAGAAAGAGAAGTAACCCGATCTTAACTCTTAATCCCCTCTCTCGAGTCAGCACAGACACGCTGACCTTAACATCCGTTGACATATCTGCCAATAAGGAAAATATGTGCCCTGTTTGCTATGATTGTACCAACGTAGACGATTTTAGAGATATAAGGGTCATTGGTTGTATAGTGGTTACATCGATAAGTATTGAGGTATGACACGTGAAAGAAATGCAGCTTGGATTGGGTATATTTTAGTACCCTAACCTTTATTAATATAATTATAGGACACAGGGCACATATTTTTCTTGCCGATGAAAGTATCAGTACGTGTTGAGATTAGTGTGTCTGAGGTCTTTGAGAAGTTTGGCAGGAGTTAAACAGCGCCATCTTGCGAGTCTTTTGAGCAACGTAGAGTAAGTATTGAATTGTACGTTTACTTTTTGTCTGCGTAAATTGTGAGAATTTTTTGAATATCGCAGGTTTAATTTTTAATTGATGTGTTTTGTGCGATTAAGATGAGAATTGAATCGATTCTAACCGTATGTAATAGAAGACAGTAGGCTCATAACGAACGACGATAGTGGGGTCAAGAACCCTATGCGCATTTTTCGATTGCGACACTTTTAGACAGAGTTATAAAAGCATCACTGTGCCAATAATGACTTCATATCATAGTGTAACAGTAATAGGTTTTACTCATCTATAATACAATTATTTGAATTTATTATACTATATTTAACGAGTGTCCCAAAATTTATGCTAGAAGTAATTTTGATAGAAAACAGGTTTTTACTTAAAAATTGAAAATTTTTTATTGAAAAGTATATGTCAATATACTTAATACCTTAATATCTTAGTATCTTAATGTCTTAGTATCTTTGTATCTTAGTATCATAATATCTTAATATCTTAGCATCTTAGTATCTTAGTACTTTAGTATCTTTTTTTTCGTTGGCAACACTTTACCGCACCAATGGCGCGAAATTCAAATATTGCATGAATTTTGAGACACCCTATACATATATACATTGTTCATATGTATTCGGACATTTTAATTGATTTGCAGTAGCAACAAATTTTATAATAAACCATATATATATATATATATATATAGATGTGGATATCGTCATATAGACTGGAGCATAACTATAGCACGGTATAATAACGATGGTGCTATAGTAACGCAACAAATGAAAATCGGAAATCCGACTTTGATGTAGAAGAAACTTCAGACATATTTACACGAAACTTATTATGTACCATACCCTTTTACCTCATATGTTTCATAATTTTTCATTCGCACTCATAAGTCTGAAACACTTAAAGTGTGGGTGGTGTTATAGTTGTGCTCCTCAATGTAGTCTATGGATGACAATTTGGGTATGTTAGGTTTTACGATTTCTCATTGTGTTATTATGTCCATGAAATAGAAATTGATGATTGGTTGGCTCAATTCTGTAGTAACCTCCTAGGAAGCGAGTATCTAGTAATAAAGGTTGATGAGAAATTATGTCGAATGCTGGGAAAGGTTTGAATCTCTATATTTTAAGCAAATTAACTATAATTGTAGTGTGATATTCTCTATTTCAGAGGAAATTAAGACAAGAGTCATATAGTTAACCTCTTTCTTAGATTACTCCTATGCATGATACCAAGAACAAGCGAAGAGGTTAGAATCTAAAGGGTGTCCCAAAATTGACGCAAGATTTGAATTTTGCGCCATTTGTTTGGTAAAGTGTTGCCAACGTAAAAAAGACCGCATGACAGCTGACAGTTCAGGGTTATTAAGAATAGAGTACTACAGGAAAGAACAACGCGTCTTCATTGTCGAGCAATATTTACAATTTTTAATTAAAAACCTGTTTTCTATAAAATTACTTTTTGTTTGAATTTTTGAACACCCTATATCTGTTGCTAATTATGAAAGTGGTCCAAACTAAAATTCGAAATCCAGAAAAGAACGAATTTATTTATTACAAACCATCCTCGCATAGTACCAGATAATTGAACTCCCAAATTGAGGTTATGTTCATGTTATAATTAATATTTTAATTTCACAAAACGAAATGTATATTAGAATATCATTTTATCGATTTAAGTGTATTCATTGGTCTTCCTTATTAATTTAATCGATAAAATACGAACTGCAGGTTACTCATTATTTTAGGTTAGGTTATATTTTAGGTTAGCTTATACTTCTCGACATCGATAATTAAATCCGTAGCCATCGCGTCTAAAGCTTACTTGGCATTGTCTGGCAGCTTCAAAAATAGATAGGATTTAAACTGTCCAAGCAAGTGGAAGCGTTTAATCGAATGGAAAAATTAAATTAAGGTTAAAGTCTTCGAGATTATTTCACGTAGTGGGTAACGATATGTCCGATTCCTATTCGTGACGCCATCTGTCGGGAAAGCTGACACTTCTTCCGGACGGCGTTGACGAAAGGTGCTCTATAGTTTATTGTTTCGTGGCGGAAAGCAAAATATTTGCTCTTGGTCAACAGCGTTGCCTACACTAACCGAAAGCAAACCGGAAATTTGCGACAGTCCAAGCGCAGTTTCGATTTCCCTTGCTTTCCGTTCGCTGGTATAAATTCGACAAATATTCCTTTCTCCACGATACAATTTTCGCGCGTTTGCCTTCGAATTGTTCGAATTGAAGTAATCCAATCGACCTTAATTTTGACAATTTCTTAGGAAAACCTGCCTGTGCGTATATATTCGAGTTAAATTAAGTCCTCGATGTAACTATACATCATCATTGAGTATTATTAATTATTTTTATTATATCCTCGAAATGACAATTTAAAATTATATATAGGGTGTCTTATATAATTGTATCAGATTATATTTTTAAAATGGTAGAAGATATAAAAAAAAATTTCTTTAAAGAAAATTAAATGGTTTATATATTTTGTATATACTCTGTTTTCACCAGAAATAGAGATATTTGAAAAATTCCAAGGTCACACCCCCTTTTTTTAATACATTTTTCAATTTTATATATGTAAAAAAGTATTCAAACGAAGGGTATTTCGTATTTCGTTTTTTTAAGTTAATTAATTTAAAAAATATTTTGATTAAAGTTTCTTTGCATATTTGGATTTGTTAAGTATACTTTGGACGTTTCTTGCATACTATTTTTACACACAGCAAGGATAATTTTTAAATATCAAAGACAAAGTTGTACACAATTTTTTTCAACAATTTTTTGCACGAAGTAGATGGTTTTCAAATCTTTTGAATTTCAAATTTTTTTATTAGAACCAACGCGTATTTATGTTTTTGTCGTACGTAACCTTCGAGGTAATCAAAAGTCAATTTATTCTGCACCACGTGATGATAAAATTCATGATTCCTCATCTATCTTGAAAAAAGTCATCGGCTCTAACGAGGCTTCGCGTTTCCATGTATTTCTACGTTAATTACCAAGTCACCTAAAATAATTATCGATATAGAAAACTATAAAAGTCTCGTGTCTCTTGCAATTTTTAGATAACACAGGCGTAAGTAGATATTAGATATTTTTGCGGTATGAAATTTATTAGACGTTAATATCCGTAGAAGGTTGCTTTGCGTCATCAAAAATTCGTATAATGTTTACAAAACTGGGTCTTGGTACTCTTTGGAATATCGGTGTTATTACAAAATGATACAACGGTGATTACCTTGAGCAATGCAAATAACCGTCGTTTTTCGTTCAAAACGCCTTGCTATCGCGTCACCTAGTCACGTGTAACTATGAACATAAATTTGCAAACGCTGTTACACACTACACTCCATCATTAACGCTAGTATGGACTACTTCGTACCTTAAATGACAGGCAATCTAGTAAACGATAAAAACTATCCTTGATAGCGATAAGAAGATCGAGGAATTAATTATAAAAATTGTATAAATAAATAAATAAATATTTTGCATTTTTATTTTTATTTTTTTTATAAATATTGATTGAAAGTACTTTGTAAATTTGTTTCATTTTCAATGTACGAAATTATGGGAATATGATTTTTAATGTTTATAAATTTTAGTGCACGGTGGAAGGTACCTTAGTACAGTTTCGAATTTAAGTGTGAAATGCGAGGTGGTGCTCAAACCATTTGTCTGTATACAAATTTTCTATTTACGTACTTGCTCACTAACTACTCTCAGATAGTATAATTAGAATAGTTCACGAAAATGGACCCCATACGCGGTTGTCTCTCCTACGTCATCATTATAGGAGGTAAAAAGAAGTTAAGAAATCAACTGATATAATGGTCTCTTCACTTTTAGTAAGAGGAACTCTCCTGTTAGACAGTACAGAAGCTAAAAAATAAATATGAAAAGCATGATAAATTATTTTGGTTGAAATACCAGATCTATCTTGATTTTGCTAATTTTTATTCTAAAGATAAAAAAATTAGGAACATTTTGGATTGTTATTTACTTTTAAATTGACAACTATGTTATAATCATGAAAAAAGGTAATATATTTTAAAATTTATTTCGTTATAGTATACAATAATACTAATGACATATTAGGTACTATAGTATTAATTTAAAAAAATTAAGAAACAGTACCATTCTTTAGAATTTATTTCATTACAGTGTACAATAATATTAATTACATTATACAAGCACAGTGCAAGTATACTTAAAGTTACATTGACAATAAATATTTAATCCTAATTTTTCATTGTTGTACATTTTTAACTTTCACATTAAAGTATTCTTAATAAATTAAGAACTGTTCAAGTAGCCTATGATTCCACGTCGTAAGACATCTCTAGAAATCGTTGACTAAAAATTCAGATCATGTGGAACCGTTTTTGTTTTCTAGATGATATGATATCGAAGGATAGTCAACGGAATGCAATCCGACCTTAAGTTAAGTTTCATAGTTCTTTTCTTATTTCGTCAATTTATTAAATCATATAAATCAAATTTATTTTTATCACGACCTGAAAATAAAAAAGAAAGATAACAATGTAATTGAACAATTGAATATTCATTCAGGCCTCTGTGAATTACAATAATTATCATAACCTTATTTTATTTTCTGCGTACGTGCACTCTAACCTCAAATTCCAGCTTTAGACGATTCCTTTCAACGGAATGAGTTTTCAATCTGTACAATTCAGTTTCCTGCAAAGAACAAAGGAAATGAAGTATCTGATTAATGAGACGAAATACTTTCCTTAAAGAGAAGTGACCGGTACAGTCGTGTTGTGTAATCCGAGCCGTCTCTTCGTAGATTTCGAGAATCGATGCATCATAGTACTGTGTCCCTTCTCTCTCGTTACGGAGTGAAACGTTATCGAATTTCTCGCTGCAAGGAAAAACAAAAAAAGAATAAAGGTGAAATTATAATGGGACGACGGAGGCGAATGTCGAATAGAGCATTAGCATTAAGAAAATGGTTGATTCGGGTTAAACGGGAAAGGCTGGTCGTGCTTGCAAGCTTACCAACAGTTTACGCACGCACACGAGTATCGGGTGAGTTTAATATAGACACGCGCGACGTGCCGCGTTCTCTTCTTGCATACCGAAAGTGGACCTCGGCGACGAACCACCACGACCGTTGCTCGCTTCGTTCGTGCTACGCGACGCGTTTATTTTTCTCGTGTCGATTCCGTCAGGCCAGACGGTACGACGGCGTGGAATTAAGGGGAGATACGTACATACCTTTGTCACCGTAGAAACAGGAAGACCTTTTCGTAGATTTATTGTATTAAGCTACTCCCAATACTTGTACATGAGTTGATTTAGTTCCCTTGTTTACGTCGGAAAGGACACGCGGTAGGCCATCTTGAAAAATGTCGATGTCATATATATGAATATATAGGGCCGCGAATTAACGCGCGCGCATGCGCGTGGCAGTACAACAAATATGGCAGTGCTGCGTGGTTCGAATTCTCGCAATTCTTCGATTTGAAAATAGATAGAATAGTTGGGAGCATGGGTGGAATTAAAATAATTGATTTAATACTTTTATTGGACTGCAAAAGTGCCGACATTGATTGAAAATAGAAGGTATTGCCGATAAAGTGATATTAAACCAATGAGAACATTAAGGAAATTTTTGAAACTTGGTGAATTATTTCATTTCAGCTAATACGCAATTTAAATACCATTTACATTGATATGGTCGCTAATAACACTCACGGAATGCAACTCGAAAAATTATATCTTGCAACTGGAATATTAAGTTCTATTACAGTTTGTTAATACTGAATATGACTTGTCAAAGATTAATCTTTGAGAAATTAATTGATTTGGTTATTTTTACACTCTGTGACACTATGATTGGGGAATTATGTACATAAGTATAATTTTCGAAATTTATTTTACTTATTACTGATTTAGAGACGTATGTTGATTAAATACTTTTTATATTTCTCAGTGAGTATTATATATATAATGTTTCAGATTCGTTTTTTGCAACACCCTGTATGTTAGAGTAGAAAGGCTGATTAATTAGATACAAATATAGAAGAAAAGTACTTAATATAGGTAACATTTAAAGTTATTAAATTATATTATATCACTATTATACCTGTGACTGTTATTAGGTTAGAAACTTTGGTGGGATTTGACGCAGAGGAATACGCTTCCAATTTGTTACTTTGAATCCTGTTTTCGATAACGTATCACGTATCATTTCCGACTCCATTGCTACTATGTATGTAGTTTCGTATCTTAACAAACCTTGAAAGTAAGTGATTTCAGTAGCAGCTTTCGAAACGTATAAACGTGTATACTACTGGTAATTATTTTTTATTTGCTTATGTCATTTGCTTTTAATCTTCATAACGTATTAACAGTAATTTAAACATTTTAAATAAAATGAAAAATTAATTTATATGGCAATTAGTTGTAGGAATATGAGGAAAACGAAAGGAACGAAGGAAGGGAAAATAAATGTATGTATAATTGATGTCCCATAGAAAATCAATATTTTTATGAAATCAATAGTAAATAAGAAAATTTAATGAAATCATTTGGTTAATAAACGACGCAAGTGCATTTTTATTGCGTGTGAAATGAGAATCAAAATCGATTTGAATGCGAAGAACGATTGATGCGTATGTAGAACAAATAAATATTTACGATATTTATATTACAGATTAAATTAAAATTTTTTTATTTAATAAAATATAAAATACAACAAATTAATAAAATATAACATTTGGATAGGTCCGAAAAATCACACTAAACAGAAGTTATTTTTTGGTCAAATTATTGTTCAAATCTTCATTTTTTAACGTTCTTGTAAATCCTCAAATTTAGTAATATTAAAAAATACGATGAAAAATCATTTTTATATTCTTAATTATTGATCAGTACATCTTAAATTGTATTTTTGACTATAACGGTTTAGGCATTATTCCATTTTTTTAAATTACGTAATTTAAATTGCTATATATTGCAAATTTTATTGTACATTAAATATTATTAAATAAAATGAATGTCATAAAAATATTATGTAAATATTAAATATAAATACATCAAATATACATATTGTACAGGAAAAAATGTCAAAGAGTGCGCAAATATTGTAAAAATATTGAATTGCACGCAAGTTTTGCTTCAACGATTAAAGTGTTAGATTAGATAACATTAACTTTGTATTTAATGAACAGGTCAGTAAAATTGGCTGACCATCTAGTTGACTCTATCTTTAGCTCTCAACTCTGATTTTTCACACTTAAATTTTATCTCCCTATTTCCTTTATTCTGTATTGTCATTTCTAAAAAAACATTCAACCACCATTCATCCTAAACGTTGGGTGGCCATTCATTCTCGTTCATGTGCTAATCTCAAGCACTCGGACCAATCGCTCTTCTTTTACACCCCTAACACTCTACATCAAGCACTCTTCATTCGAACATCTATTCCTCTGATCAATACACTCTTGACGCTTAATTAAATGCTATCTGGTACATTACTGTATTGTTTATTGTCATGATCAACAAGCAAAGATAGCAGTACATTGTCAGACATAACAACATGGCATTATAAGAGCAACATTGTTTGCTTTTCACTTATAATTGAAAAATTGCACAAGCTAGATAAACAAGCAGGAAATTTCTTAGGAACAAGGTTGAGTAAAAGGATAGCATTTGTTACTGATAACAATGACAATTTTGTAGTCAAATTTTGACTTAAAGAATTGATTGGAGGTACTAATATACCCTAAAAAAGAACATGCCATTTTATGTAGGTTTTAGGCAGTAGTGCCATTCAATTACAATTTCTCTAGCATATTACTGCTCAGTTATACAGGGTGTCCCAGCAACGATAGTACAACTGAGAAGAGGGTGATTCAACATGCAGAAACGAATCGAGAAAAAGAATAAAATTTTAGGATTCGAAGCTTCGTTTTCTTATAACCTATATTTTTATAGTTCTATAGTGGAATTGAAGTACACAGATGCTTTCTACTTACTCTTGTAAAATTGGTTAAGACTCTTCCCACTGGAAGTCTTTCTGTATATCTGATTTCAAAGTTGCGAATGCTTCACGTACTTTTAGGTTAGGAACTCTTATGCCAGGTTGGGAACTTTTAGGTTAGGTTAGGAACTTTTAAGTCTCTTCGAATATTTTCATTCTTGGCATACATTGAGGAATCTACTACCCATTTTAAGAATATACGTTTAAAGGAATTATATTTTTACTATATATCTCCAATGTTAGATACTTGTGTATTATATATACATACGCATATATCAGAAATAAGAAAATCTAAAAACGATGAAGTTATCTAAAAAGATAAAGTACAATTTTTGTTATTTTGTTTATTATTAGCAATTAATCTTTTAATTTATCCAACTTCAAAATTTTTAGTATCTCATCACAAACATATAGGACTATTTTCATAGTCACTGATACATGTATATAGTTTCTCAACTTTTGTATACTATACGAATATGATTAAGTAAGAATCGAGTCTTTGGATCATTCAGCCAGTTCTTCCTTAACATTTGGGTGACTAAGTAGAGAAAGTCTTGACGTAAATATTTTGTAGTATTGCTTATCGACAGACTTTCTGCGTGGTTCCCAAGATAATAATGTTTAGCCATTCAAAAATATACTCAGGCAAATGTTCTCGAAGAAAAATATGCCAAGCATTATGGGACATGCAAAATAAATGGTACATAATTAAAAATGAAACGAATTTTCAGGTATACCAGGTACACTTAATCAGATACTAAAGAAATAAGATAGAAAAAGTAGTATATACGAGATATGAGTTTATTATTATATGTTGGTTCAGAGTACACGATTAATTAAATTGTTTTGGTGTACTTTCCAGTGGCACCAGTTTCCTGTGACTCGAAAGATTATTACCAAATTTACATATGATTTTGCCTGAATATCTTATCAACGTGTCTATATTTCATTCCATTGATTAAACAGCGGGGAAATAAATAAATAAATACAGTTCTCTTGAATAATTAAATAAATAAGAAAAACCTGTTTTAAGTACAAAATGACATTGCAAAATATTATTTACAACAGTTACATTGAATTAAATATAATTTAATTCTTGTAAAAATATGTCCTAAATTAAATACTAAATATGATTAACCCATTTTTTTATAGTAATCATAAAATGATCAGAAATAATTTTCCCATGAAAATGAAACGTACATTACATTTTCCAAAATTTTGTATTCATTGACAGAATTTAGAATAATAAATGGTGAAAAATTGTGTAAAAACTTCTGCACGCTGTCATATTTACTTGTTTTACAGTCTTATTGGCTGCAAAGGAGGATGTTTAAAGAAGGCCATTTTTGACATCGCTTGGAATTGAAAAATTCCTTCGGGATCTTTAAGAGCATCCTCCAAGGAACAAAAAGTTTCTATATGATTTTGCCGGGAAACGATGGGAAAGTTGTCAAAAATGAGTCGAAATATGTGAAAATGAGACTGATCAAATATAGGGTGTCCCAAGAACAGTACTACACGATTGTACATCAAAAAACAAATCGAAAATGAAGAATAACATTTTTTGATTAGAAGCTTCGTTTTCGAGAAAATCAACTTTGAATATCCACTGGTGGTCCATGCGCCATAGCCAAAGTTAAGAGCATGCGCACTCGGTGAATATTCAAAGTCGATTTTCTCGAAAACGAAGCTTCGAATGAAAAATTTTTATTCTTTATTTTCGATTCGTTTCTGCATGTAGAATCATGTACTACTATTATTAGGACACCTTATATTTTTTGACCGATTTTTTGAGTAATTTTGTATCCCAAAATTAATTTGATTTTCAGTATAGTTTAAGTATCTTAATTTGGTCGAAAAAGGTTAAGAGCAAGTTCGGAAAGCAATCGTCATGTATTGAATGTACAAATCACGGATCGGTCGAACTATCGCGTAAATCGCGAAGTGCAAGCTGATATTCGATAATGATACTGCTATGTCGCAAAACGCATGTCCATCGAGGTTAACTATCAGTGAGCAGTGTTATGTCGCACACGTTTGTTGTTCGGTAATTACATCCGTGCTTGCGCTTGTCCGCCAATGAAAGCTCGGGTATCGAAAATTTCTAGAAAAGAGGTTAGTCGAAGAAGAGAACGACGCATTGGATTTGCATACATTTCCATTCGTTGGTTTCTTATCTAAAAAAAAATGTAACGTAGTTTGAAAATATTGAACACTGTTTGGAAACAATCTAAGATATTTTCGAAAACGTTTGAAAACAGTGCAGTTAAAAATTACTAATCGGTACAGCATCGATATGTGTAATAGTAATTTCCATGTAAAACGAGATAAAATGTTGAA